CCGGGGAACATCTAGAAGTGCAAGTGTCTCCCTGGTTCTCCGGACTGAAGTAGCCGGATCCAGTTTATCCTCCCAATGTGTCAACTTGTTTCTTGAGTGCCGGACCGACCACATAATAGAAACTATGATGGCTCGGTCTCTGCATGAAAATCAATCATCACATATAATATCTTGGGCCCATGTATCTGGATGTAGGCAAGGCAAACTGAAGTCAAACAGCTGCTGGGCCTCCTCCCAAAATAGTTGTGCATGAGAGCACTTTAGCAAGGCATGCTCGAAATTTTCGTCCATTGCCAAACATATTTTACATCTGCTCATCTCTCTCAAATGCCGGTGTTTAAGAGTGTTTTCATCCAGCAAAATACCCCTAAGCACCCGCAAGAACACCCTAACCACATGCACAATTATTCCCTTTTCGTCTTCTCTTCATCGCATGTATACTCTCAAATGCGACAAGGACATTATCAATGATTAGCCTGCCGGGAATGAATGCACTCTGTTCCTGGCTGATGATCTCGGACTCGGCTCCCCTGACGTACTGCAGGGAGCAGTTGGGTCACTGACAGGTGGGCCAACTTGCTTTCGGGCCCACCTGTCAGTGGCCCAACTGCTCCCTGCAGTACGTCAGAGGAGCCTCGTCCGATGATCTCATCCATAAACTCTCGCATCCTGTTAGTTATAGCCTTAGCTGCGATTTTATATAGAAGATGATAAAGTGATATTGGACGATATTGGGTAATATTCTATGGATTCCATACCTTCGGGATTAGCATAATGGAGGTGTCATTCAATCATGTTGGTAGGTTCCCACCATTGAGAAAATCCAGAACAACAGTTGTTACCTCATGCCGAAGCAGGTCCCAATGCTTCTGAAAAAAATCTTGCCGTGAAACCGTCGACACCGGGTGCCTTTGACGGCGCCATTTGGAACAGGGCCTTGCGCACTTCCTCCGGCTCGAACGGTCTATCGAGGACTGAATTCATATCCGGAGTAAGTCGCGTTGGAACATGTGATAAAACCTTGCTTGCCTCCGAGGGTCCCCGCGAAGTATAGAGCTGGTGGTAGAATTTTTGGATTTCTGTTTTCACCTCGTCTACATCAACACATTCTGTGACATCCATCCTACGCAAACCGGTAATCTTGTTGGTACATTGCCGCTGCTTGGCCTGCGCCTGGAAGTACTCGGTATTACGGTCGCCGTCGTGAAGCCAAAGCAC